GCACGAATGGTTACAGGTGTGACATTCCCTCTCTTAATTGTGCAAGTTATGGCTTAATGGCTAAAGATATTTTACCGATTATTTGGAATTATTTAAACATTAAAATACAGAATCTTTTTCTAATTAAACCAGTCGTTAACAATCTGTCTTAAAAGTAATTTCGTTTTTGTTTTAATTAATATAGGGGGAAATCTCTCAATTTAGACATACACTTGTGTCGTTAGAATATACAACTTCGTGTTTTTGCCTTACAATATAATAGTTTATGGTACGTTTTTACGTGTCTGTGATTGAAGGTAATGTGTTTATCGAGGATGAATATAAAATAATATATATTATATAACTTAAATTATTTAAATTTATTTTATTTCTTTGTACAACGTTTCCGTAATGTATTCCTGTTTCAGATTTTTGCAGAACGAAAACATGGCGTTTTTTTCTGCGGATAACTGTTTTCAAATGTATTTAATCAGCAAACGTTATTTTATTGGACAATTGGGAAAAAGATGCTTCGATTATCCCAGAGTGTCGATTCACGATAAAAACGTTTGTCGTATCCACGATTCGGCTTGCAAACACTACGAAAAACGACTGCAGTATCATTGTTGGGATGCATTCAATTGGTCTGATGGAAACTTATTCGACACATGCGATTTCCAATCGTGTGAAGTAACTACCCTCTTCAAGTTGTTGACGTGTCCCGTCTATCACAAACTGGAGGAATTCGATCTGTTGCTTGGTCTTCGGGTGTGGGTCGATCGGAAATTTACTGAATTACGAAAAATAAATAACAACGTATCAAGAAGAGACGTTATAAGATTTTTCATCTCGTTGATTAGATTTCTAATTATAAAATCACAGTTAATAAAGAAGGCTTGTAACAAATTTCAAAGTGTTTACCTTTCAACAAGAGAAATTCAATCCATTAGAAAATATCGTACTCAGAAAAATGTAGCAATCCTTCGGGCAACGATATCTGATAATGTTAAACGGAGAAATATTGAGGATTATTCTTCGTTAATTGCGTTAAAAAGGGTGAAACCTCGAATGTCAAACAGTAATAAGGTGATGAATGAAAACTTTCGGTTCACCGCTGACATTTGGGTACCGGAAAACTGCGTTGTGAAGAAGATTGAACTGCCAATAACCCATGTTAGTCCCGAAGGAATAGAGGTTCTTGTCGGTGTGAAGTCGACATATAATCAAGACTTTTTATACGAAAGAAGCATTTGCGATGAAAAAGGATACGTATTTTTTAAAAAATTGAAACTTTTGTCGAAGTGCAGCTTTCATATATTTTCAGTTAAGATTCCTAAAGAAGAAATTGGGTCGTCCTTTATCACAGTTAATAAACGTACACGCGAATACGTGCCGATCTACGATTTTTGCAGTGAAACTACAAGATTCGAAGAGAAGACGAAATTTTCTTGTAAAATTTTCTTTATTTACTGAAATTTGTGGAAATGTATGTGATTCGGATATTTTACGTATGTTATTTAACACGAGGAATGTTTCCTTTGCTTTCCAGAAAGTTTGTAAAATGACGTCGGTGTATTTTTAAGAATAACACAAAGGATTTTAATAATTTGATTTAAAACATCGATGATTAAGCAGTTTTAAGTGATGAATTAAATACAATACTCTCTGTAATCCGATGTACCGGTACTGTACATCTGACCGCTGCGTGTAGGATTACAGCAATTGTCGAATTACTGGATTTTTTATGTACACAAGCACTGTACAGTTGAAAAACGAACATGGTTTATAGGTTAGCTTACTGTTTTAATCACGATTATGACTGTTTTGCCGGCTCCACGGGCAATAAACAACTAGCGACTGTCCATATACACGTATCGTACTGTACATCAGTCTTTCTCTCTCGCATACGTGGACAACGTATAACACAAAAATTTCGTGTGCACCTGAAAAGTGTGGGATTACTGGAGATGTCGGACTAGCGAGTCCTGTTCAGTAATCCCATACACAGTATACATTTACGTATACAGCATAGGCAATACAGTATAGGTAAATATATTTTGTTTCGAAATATTAGACACACCGCTTTATTTACACTGTAACTTGTTAATGCGATATTATTAGGTCCGATATTTGTCCAAATTTTCAAAAAGAATACAAAAAAAGTACCACCGTTTGATAAAAATTTATTCTCTCGTAAACGTGGTATTTTCAGGCGGTTTAATTAAGCAATAAGGATGACCCAATAAGCAAAATGGCCGATTGCCGATTAATCGGCCATGCATTATTGGTTGATTAGTGTTAATAATTTATTGCATTAATAGTGTGAGATCCTAGAGTTAATTATAATGTGAAAAACCCATTTTCACCACCTAGTATTTCCATCTCCCTGGCGTCAGGTAAACAAGAGACAATCGAATATCCTTGCTAAATCAACAATCTCTTCCTTTGTTTCTAAAATAAATCTCAACAGTAAATTGTTGATGCATGGAAACTTCGACATTGTTTAGAAAGCTGAAGTGTTCCTGTGTTTAACAGAAACAAAATATATTTCTATAACCGCTGAAATTTGGACAGCAACTACAAACAATTCTCCTTTTTTAAGTGTAAGAGCCCACTGGTTGAAGAATGATTTTTAGCATAAAAGAGCTGTTTTGCAAATTGTTCCCACACAGCTGCACGAATTAGTGAACAAATAACAATTGTTCTCGAACAGTATGAGTTGACAAGTGATAAGATATTCTTAATATTATGAGATTCTGCATCAAATTTGGTAGCTGGAATTAGGAATTGCAACTTAGAAGCATTATCGTACTTTATACATACGCTGCAGCCAACACTAAACGTATGCATATTTTCTGAACAAGATGTGAAAACTATAATCACAGTAAATAGAAATATTGTCATACATTTTAATCATTCTGCTGTAGCTGTAATCAAATTGGAAGATTTGCAAGAAAAATTAGATTTGCAGAAACACACATTAATTCAAGATGTTCCTACTGGCTGGAATTCTACATACTACATGCTGGAACAGCAAAAGGCTCTTGTCACATATGCTATAGATAATAAAACTTCTATGTTGAGCCCATATCAGTGGTCTTTCGTTGAAAAAATTGTTCTATTTGTAAAACCATTCAAAGAAATTACTGTGGAAGCCAGGAAATGAGAAACCATCTCATCTTCAATAATTCCCACAACAGAGACTCTGAAATTATACTTATCAAAAGCAAAGAGCGGTAGTTTCTTTAGTGGCATTAATACCACAACAGAAGAACTAGAAAACCTGATAAAACAAGATTTTCAGCATAAATAGAAAATAAGTCTTTATGCTTGTCATTTTTATTAGATTCAAAATGGAATTTGAAAAAGAAAATATGGTAGAAAAAATCTCAATAAGAATTAAATTGTGAAGCTTCTCCTACTGGAGATGATCAAGATGGAGGTGAATCTCTTAAGTTTTTCTGATTTATTTGATGAATCAGCTTCTGGTAAACGAAAGAATAAAGAATAGCGTATATATAACAAAAATTTATCAGTTTTTATTACTAGCATTATACGTAACAGTCTAACAAAAATACCAAAATGTAAAATTGGCCGACTATTGAAACCGATTAATCGGCTAACCGGTTACGATTAATATGTGATACGGCCGATACGGCCGATATCCGATACTTACCGATTAATCGGTGTATCCTTAATGAGAATCCATTTCTATAAAAGTAATTTAGGATTTCATTCAAAAAAAGTTTAAAATTTAACATAATTAGAGATGAAAAGAAGAGACAAAACTTCACTTTAATTTTAATTTTACTAACACTTTTTATCGAACAAATATTGGTTATTAACATTCCTGAATTGTTTTTGATACTTCAGTCAAGCTAGGTAATTCTTCAATTTCGTGAGACCATTTTTACTATACACTTAACTAAGTATATCACGAGTACTTTAATCTCAAATTTAATAATAATTTTTCATAAATTATTGGGTGTAGTTTGAATTACAATTTGATTTTACTATAAGTACATTACTAGCAATGATTAGAAAACATAAATGCTTTCATTTCTGTATGAATATTAGTGATGAAAACAATGCATTCATATCTTATCCACAATGTTTAAAAATCTTAGTTTTCTATAATGTATTCTGAAATAAAGTCTGATATTTTATTATGACAACTCCGAATCGAGTCTGGGCTACAAAAGCTTCAATTTTCCATAGGTTCTGCCGGTCTTTGACGCTAGATCTGAGAATAAAATAGGTTTCTCGTCGGTGTTTTGCTTTACGGAGCGACTAAAAAATGATATTGATAAGTCTTCATGAATCTTTAGGTGGACCAGGTGGACCAGTTAGAATAGTTGCTTTTTAGCTTCCTGTCCACTCTGGCACAATAGGTTTTCTGGTCTCTACGACAGTGCTGGATGATTTTCTTTATATATTTTATAGATCTTGCTGTGAAAAAGTTGTTTCACTTTTAAAAGAGAAATAAATTGTATGTCAATTTCTATTAAAAAAATACCGCAAAAGAAATTTTCATGCAGTAATAAACAAATGTATTTCTATTCTCAAATATTCCTGTCAAAAGAAAATTAAAAAGTTTTTATTGTTTTCCACAGTCATTCGACATCGAAGAACAAATAATTTTAATATATATTCAAGGAAACAATCTAAATTAGTTTAATTTAGTTTTCCAATTAGACATCTGTCCACATTTCAACTAATTTTACAAAAATAGAAGTGATATTTATTACTAGTTATATCAAATGTGAGAACTATTATGTATCATATGAAATCAGTTTAGATTTACAGAACAACTATTAGATATAAAGGAATAATTGCAAGCTACTTTCATCCTTCATGCAAACAAAAGATTTTCCATCGCTAATGAATTAAAATGATCATATTGCATTTTAAACATGATATAAATCATGGGCAAATATAAATTGTATTAAATATTAACGTCCGAAGAAATTTTTTTTTTGAAGAATTTAATTACAATGTTAAGTTATTACAGCTGCTTTTTTCTTTCGAAACGTCTTTAAGTTTCATGAAAGCCGAAAAGAAGGAATGCAATGTTTTTGCAACCTGCAAGAATGTAAAATAAATTAGCCAGATAATGGTTAAAAATTGATAAATATTTGATAAATATTTATAACAATTTTCACTATAAATTTTAAAAAACGTATCATTAATATTATAAATCTATACTAATATAATAAAGAGGTAATGTTTGTATGTTTGTTTGTAAGTTTGGATGCAGCAGGTAATCTCCAAAACTACTCATCCGATTTCAAAAATTTTTTCACCAATATTTAGAATGGAACTTCAGGATGGACATAGGCTGTATATTATTCCGTTAAACATGGGGGATGGACAGTTCTTTACGGTAAGCCTT